CGCGCCGCAGCCCCTTCTGGAGGCTCTGGGTACTGCGCCTGCCACTGTAGAGAGAGAGGGGGGCCCAGCGGCGACAACGCGCGCCGCAACCCCTTCTGCAGTCTCTGGATGACAGGCTCTGGGAGTGTGAGCGAGTGACTGAGTGAGTGAGTGAGTGAATTGAGTGAGTGAGTGAGTGAGTGAATTGAGTGAGTGAGTGAGTGAGTGAGTGACAAGATGAGTGTGTGTCAGATGATCACAAGTCACAAGATGAGGGAAGGAGCGAGGGACGGAGGGAGGGACGGGCGGGCGGAGTCGGGCGGGATGGCAGCCAAAAAACTAGAACCCCACACAGAGATGTGGGGAACTAGTAACAAAGGGCATCGCTACTAGGAGCAAGGAAGCTACTAGGGGCGCTCCTGGCCTTACTACTAGTAGCAAGGACGCTACTAGTAACAAAGCACCTAGTCTTGAGCGCCTCCATCCTCCGGAGTGCATGGAAGCATCGCATTGATCACCTCTGCTTCCATGGCTGGGGCTGCATTGCAGAGGTGTTGCACCTCGAGACATGACTCATCGGTCCAGCATTAAAGGCGAACAAGGACGCTACGAACGGGGCTCCTGGCATCGCTACTAGGAGCAAGGAAGCTACTAGGGGCTCCTGGCCTTACTACTAGTAACAAGAAGCTATTAGGGGCTCTTTAAAGGCTGATTTGAAAAACATGAAGGATAAACATGTGGAACACACTTGCTTCTATCGGCACCGGGCCAGATTCAGATTTGCCAAGTGGCATAGCCCACCGTCATGTTGAAGTCTTTTGCTAATGCTTGGATAAAGACTTCTTGATCCAAGGATCTCCTGAGCAGCTATTGAAAGTTGACATGACTTGGTTTGTGTAGGCCTCCAACCTAGTAGCTTCTCGCTACTAGTAGGCACCTACTTAGTTGCAGTAAGTAGGCCATGGGCAGAAAAGCAAAGGCCAAGGATCCCATTGAGCTCGGCCCACTTGGCACAGAGCGGGACCACTTTGTTCCAGCTCGGGTGGAAGCGGGTGAATTGGAAGTGCTTCCTTAGAGCAAGAATACAAGAATGAATGTCACTACCCCTTACCACAAACTAGAACCCTTCGACACATCTTTGTCTTTGTTTTCTTTATTTTCGTCTAAACTTTAGAAATCTGAAATCTTTTCTCTTTAGACCCGAGCTCAAACATGTCCACAAAATATGGATGATCACTGGGCTTGCGATTAAGAATGTTGTGCAGTTCTCACATGTCACTTCCGTCAAACTGACTAGAAGCGACGACAGCAACCTGAGACCGTTGAAGTACATAGCTTGCCAAGTCTTCCCATGAAACGGGCCAAGGCGGTTGGTACCGGACAGTGTGACAAGGGCGACCTGTCAAGTCACCATATGGACCCAAGGAACAGCTCCCCTTTACCACAAGCTACCAGTAGACGACGCTACTAGGAGCGATCGGACGCTACTAGGGGCTTTTTCACGCGCGGGGGTTCCGAGAACTTGAGACCATTGGACTACGTGTGAAAAGCACCGGCGAGGTATGCTTTCCTCCCTTACACACGAAGAAAGTGATGCATTTGGAAGCAAATCTGTGTAAAGAGAATAAGTCACATAACACAAAAGAAAGCACATTTGAACTTGTATATAAGGGGCAGTAGAGCCTAGAAGCAAAGGGTAAAGAAAGTGTTCAGTGGCAGGATGATCCGCCACACCCACCAAGCATCTGGAGAAATCCTACGAAGTCATCTTCGTCCACGCCCTGCATATTGGCCTCCAACAGTTCGAGGCTTGACTTCAGAGTTCTAATTTGTTGGTTGAACACCTTTAGGACGGAGCTGGACTGCGTACTTAAGGTTCGGAACTTCGATGTGACCTCAAACATCCTCAAACCAAGTAACAAGTGCATCGCTTCTAGTGACAAGTGCCTTACTAGTAGTAACAAGAAGCTACTAGTAACAAGGGCGTCGCTACTAGTAACAAGGTCTGCTTCGAGACAGGAGAGCTCGAGCAACGTGTTTACAAACGGATATCTTCACAGCTTGCCGATACTACCAGGCTTCTTTTCTTTTCTTTCTCCTTTTATTCCTATTTCTCCATTCTTGACCTTTCTTTGCTCCTTCCTTTCTCCTAACAGACCTACCTCGATCTCACTTTCCACGCTGAAGGTGAAGGAGAGCTCTCCGGCACTTGGCACTTGCCAAATGCCGCTGGAAGGGTGCCTCAGTGAAGCTGATGATTCGATCCTGATTGGCAATGCGAGTGAAAGCCTTTTCTTGGTTCAAAACATAAGGCCTTACACATAGCCGTCTTGCTAAGGAAGTCAAGCTCTCTGTGGCCTGACCATTGTCCTCGTCTCGTCCCCCGTTCTTCACGTTTGAGGCTGGCGTTTGTGACTGAGTGGCTTGGTCACTGGGGGCAAGCTCCCCAAGGAGTAGCTCACATCGCTCATCGGCTTCTCCAAGGGCACCTTGCAATGTTCATCACTTCGTCACTTCGTCACTACGACCATGCAATGTGTGACCTGGGTGATTTCATCTGATTTCCTGGTCGTTTTAGGATACCCCAACACCCCAGCCAGTTCTTGCTTGACTTTATAAGAAGCTGTACCTATGGCAGCAGAAAGTCATCTGCGAAAAGGTGCTGCCACTCTGGGCCTTGTAGCGCTCTGCTGTCTTGCAAAGCATCCGCAGCATGGCCCGGTGATAGGGCCGTTTCAGGTCCAGTCGATATCGTCCACCTCGATGACTCGACACTGCAGTCATTTCGATGGAATTGTTTCATGGCAGACTCTGAACCAATTCGACTTACCTCGATTCGGAGCACCTTTGGAACTCACAAGTTGGCCTCGTTTAGCTGTGATTTAAGTTACGACAAAACAATAAGCTAGGCCGAAATGAACATGAGTCCTTTGAGTTTGCATAAAGCTCCCTAACCTTTGTCAGGCCTGGGTTAGTGAACGAGAAGGTCTTGCAGGCAACGCTTTGCTCTATGTCGTCTTCGTGATCTGGACCGCCGGTGAAGCAGCCCTCTGCATCAAAGTGCCTACGCTCGGGAACACCATGCACATCTGGAACTGAACATCAGACTCTCAGAAATAAGATCTTTTTCTAGTAGAGGGAGGAAGTAGCAGTATGGACGCGGGATAGCTCACTCTGCAACGAAGCTCCCAGGGCGGCGGGGGGAGCTTCCTTGAAGCGCTCGCACTAATGATTTGAATCCTAGATTTTTAGGAAAAGTGACTGCCATGCAATAGACATCTCAACCCAATATTCACTTCCCGTTGATTCTTGGGACTAATCCTTTTGATAAAAGACATCTTTCTTAACACCCGCTATTAGGGTGGAGGCCATCGCTATTAGGGTGGAGGCCATCGCTACTAGAGAGGAGGCCATCGTGACCATTGCTACTAGGTTGGAGGCCATCGCTCTGGCCTGTGGGAGACTCTTCTTCCATCCTTCCAAACTGAAGCCAGGCCTGATCTGATTGTTCTTTCGGGCCAAAAGCCGCAACATACTCCGCAATCCCAAGGACCCCAATGGATTCCTCAGCTCAGTGATACGAACACCAAAAAATGAGCAGTGATGTGCAATCACATTTTGCGTGCATAGATGTTGGAATGGGTACTGCATCATGGATGTTATGACTCTGTCATGACTGTCATCATGATCTGTCAGGCATCTGGGAGATGTTGATGTTTCGCATGTGTTGGTGGTTTGCCAGCGCATCCTCCAGGACCAAGGCTGGCTTGAAGTCAATGCCTGCAATGTCACGCGGGAAGGGAGCCAAGGAACTTAAAGCTCAAGAACATCAGAACCTAGAAGCAATGGCCTCCAACCTAGAAGCTATCAGAACTACACTTGGAACCCTTGGGAAAGGGCATTTGCTAAATACAAAAATAGAGATAGTCTGGTCACGACTCACGACTACTCATGTAATCAAGAACACCCACAGGACGTAGTCCCCTTGCATTTGTTCCAAGTCGTCGGCCAACAAGCAGGCTGCTCTGCTGAAACACTAATCATCAGATCCAGTTGACACATTTTGAATACCCGCTTTCTTATTCTTTCTACACTAGCAGCTTCGCATCATTAGCCACGATGCGATTGGCTGCAATGCTCAAATACGTCAAGGAGGTGTTGTAGGACAAGGCCTCCAACAGCCTCAGTCAAAGGACAGCCCAAGGAGTTTGACAAAGAATCACCGTCTGCCAAAATAGCATGTCAATTCGCTACCCAAAAGCTACAGCTAGACTCTTCCCCGTGGCTCCCCGATGTGTTCCATTGAGAGGTCATTTTGACTAGGTGGCCTTTCCCTGAACAGCTTCATCCTGCACCAACCTCTGCCGGGAGACTCCGAGATGGAACAATCGTAATTGCCAACCACCGAGGACGTGCTGTCCAAGTAGAGCTTCTTCAACTTCGAACCCCTCAGTTGAGCAAGGACGCTACTAGGGGCTCCTGGCCTTACTACTAGGAACAAGAAGCTACTAGGAGCAAAGGGCATCGCTACTAGGAGCAAGGACGCTACTAGGGCTCCTGGCCCTACTACTAGGAGCAAG